TCTCAGATACAGAGTGAGGAGCATAAAACTCTGCATTGCTTAGTCATATTCGTTAGTGGAAACCCTTGACGTTTCCGTGCTTCCTGCAGAGTTGGGGTTGATCTTCCTTCTGTTTTCAAATGAAAAAAAAAAAAAACTGCCTATCCGAATTATTCTACAAAATAATGAACTACCGTCGTCCGTCACTCACCTAAAATCTCCTCCATTTGCTTTGTTCATTCAAGCATTTGATACTTTGTTCACTCCCTTGCCAAAAGATCCCGAGCTTCTGATCTTTTACAGGTGAAGATGTATGGAAAGGATTTTGTTACACAGATCTTCTTTATTTCAATAATCGTTTATTGCTCTCTCCATCTCCACACTCTTCTCTTATTTTCTTCCTTTTAAAATTCTACATGGTCCTCTTCTTATCCTCATTTGAAACACTCCTATTTCGATTCTTGTTTACAAATTTGTCAGACACTTTATAATTATGTATAAGTAACAAGAATTCATTTTTCTTTATACATTTTGTTTACTATAGAATAGTTTTATATTACCTTTCACAGAGCACAAGTTGTTACTGATTTTTGCTTTATATTCTATAAGAATATATTTTTTTATATAATATCGCTTCATATATTTATCATTTGTGTTGAGTTTTTATTAATTTAGATTGCAATACTATAGTCATTTTTTTGTAATCTATGGTTTTCTTGGTATATATCACTGTCACTTTTTCATTTTTTTTTATTTAATATTCAATGATGTTTATTTGTTTTATTATTTTACGTCATTAGCAGCTGCGTATGTTTGGGTTATAAGTTTAATTCGATTTATGATTTATCAGAACTATTACAGTAATGGAGTGTAGGATGATTACCACAAATTATGGTAGTGTGCGCCTTCCTACATTCATAGTATGTTACTTAATACTAATCCCACCTTGCGGTAATGTCATGCGGGCTATTGACAATGAAGGGGCCAGTCTTGTTCAAAGTTCATTAATATATATCTCTTAGGTTTTATATTAGGAGTTGAGTTAATTACTGTTTACATTTTTCGTTATATGATGATATTTGTTTTGTATAATAACATAATAATTTGTATAATATTATATCGTTAGTTTTCATTCCTTTCGAAAATGCCCACGTATTTCACTGCCTCGAAATTGGTTTTACAGCAAATATAAAGTCCAAATAAGTATCCTTGGATTCAGAATTTAATGTAGTTTTTGTATTAGAAATATATATATATATATATATATATATATATATATATATATATATATATATATATATATATATATATTTCTAATACAAAAACTATATATATATATATATATATATATATATATATATATATATATATATATTTCTAATACAAAAACTATATATATATATATATATATATATATATCACCCATATCAAAATTTCCTTCTACTTACCGTATATGTGTATACAGTTAGTAAAAAAAGTTTGGGTGCACTTATTCGCAAAAGGAATTTTAATGTTTCTTCGTCCAATGAGGGAGCTGGACGTCCGGAAGGATTGCAAAGGAACCATGAACGAGAAATTATGAAAAATATTCATGAAGCCTAAAAAACGAGTGCTGCTTCCATTGCAGGTATGCTTGAAAATGATGATATGATTGAATTTATACAATAAACAGTGCGAAATGTTATAAAAAATGCAGAGTATAACTCGCGATCTGGAACGAAAAAGTTTTATTTATTTATTTATAAACCAAATTAACCAAACAAAGAAAAATGTGGAACATTAGATTAAATTTGCAAATTTCTTTGCAATAAGCAAATTTTTCAGCAGTTTCACAGCTTCCCATCACGTCCGGGATATAAATCAGATCAGGAGGTCTCAGTTGTTCATGAAAACAAATTGAAGGAATCAGTAGATTTATTTATTTAAAACGTCAATTTTAGGACTGAAAACTGATAAATGCGGGTAAATTTCTATGACAGAAATCTGGGATAAAAACACAAGTACATAAACGCTTTAAATGAAAAATATTTAAAACATGGTTATTTATAGTTTCATTATTTTTAGTAATTATTATATATATACTACAATTAACTGTTGCAAAACTTTTATTTCTTATTTTACATAATCTTGTACATAAATACATAAAATTAATTTTACATAATTACATATATAAATATACCTAAATGATTATCCCATTATCTTCACCTCCTCAGTAAAAAACCTAGGCATTTTCATAGACCAAACCCTATCCTGGAAACACCATATTGCTCACATTACCCGACAGTCAATTGGTACCTTGAAACTATTCCATCGCTTCCGCCATCTCCTACCCATCTCCACAAGTAGACTCCTGGTAACTTCCCTTATCTTCCCCCACCTTGATTACGGCTGCGTGGTGTACGGTGGCCTCTTGGCAGAACTCGGGGAGAGACTGAAAAGAATTATGAATGCCTTCGTTAGATTTGTCACAGGGGCCCTGAGGTATTCCCGTGTTTCACACCACTATGCTGAATTAGGATGGCTCTTCCCTTCCTTCCGAAGACAATATTTCCTAGGCACATTCCTTTACCAAATAATCAATAGTCATCGTCCGTCCTACGCATACAATCTCCTACAATTCAAATCATCTATCCACACCCTCTCCACAAGATCTCGTCCTTCTGACCTTTACACTCCTTTCCACAGATCTGCATCATTTAAACATTCCTTCGTTGTCCGTTCCACCGCATTCTGGAATTCCATCTCACTAAAAATCCGCCATGCATCATCCTTATCCACCTTTAAAACCCTCTTATTCCAATTCCTCTTCACAATCCAATCAGACGCTAGTTAAATACATACTATGTTATAAGGATTTAATTTTCTTTAGACATTATTTTTTTCTCTTATGTTTTATTGTTTTATTCTGTGTTGAACGTGAATTTTCATCACCACTCACTAAGCATTGTGAGTAGATAAAATTTGTTTTCCTTAAGTTCTAATTTGTTATCCATGGAATGTATTTCAGTGAAATGTATTTTATTTCTAATTATCTTCAACATACTTCTCGCTATGTGTATATATATACTTTATTTTATTTTCTCTTCTCCTAATCTTTACGCATAATCACTTAAATATCTTAGGGAACATATGTATATCATTATTTGTTTTTTTATATATTTTTTTGTTTTAGTTTTTACAATTTCTTTCCCTACATATTAACAGTTATTATTATTTTTTTAAATTTTTATATTCCATCACTACAATGCTTTACCTATAAAATAGATTTTACTTTCCTTATAATTTCATTCAGTGATTATTATGCAATTATTTTAGCTCCAATATTGTAGTACTGAACCCCTATTACCAAACTGTCCTCGTTAATTTATCCTAAGAGCTTAATTAATACTTAATGTATTACATGTATTTTGTCATTATTCATTGTAATAAGTCTTTTGACCAGATTTGTAGTTAATATATATGAACAATACTGTTATTCTAAAGGGACCTAGTCCCAGAATAAAGATGATTTTTCTATTCTATTCTATTCTATATATTTATCGGAATACATCCGAGATTATGTAAAATAAGATATAAAAGTTTTGCAACAGTTAATTGTAGTCATTCTCCCTAAAAACACTGGTACCAGGTTACTTAGGAGACTGGATAGAAAATTACATCATTCCTTTACACAATTTGAAACGAATCTCAAGTTTTTGCCAAACAAACCTCAATTTAATTAATAAAAACTTAAACCTTATTAAACGAGGTAGTTTTTCTAAAAGTGGGGTAACTGTAGTTTAAAAATATTTGGAATAATTTATGATTTTTTTAAAAGCAGTACTTAGCTTAGTTTAGCCGCTAAAATGCCCTCTTTAAATGGTTTTCATAATGACAAACTTTCTTTTCAGTAAAAGTAAATTTTGTCTAGTTTACAGTGAAGTAATTATTAATTACTTAAATTGAACATGTCTTTAGTTATCTCTTCATATTCATAAAATAACAGGACTCCCCTTAAAAAAAACAACACAAAACTTGGATTTTCTACTTTTCTGCTGAAAATTGGCTCATTGTTTACATAAACTTTTTTGTATATCTTAAAGTCTGCTATCACTCCTATCAAAGTTTCTCTCTTCTTACGGAACAATCTGTATACCATACTATTGTCTGTTACTATACAATCTGTATGTTTTTTAAACCATTTTTATTGGAAGAATATTAATACAATCTACCACAATACAGGCCCATCAGATGTTTCAGGAAACATAAGAAATAAATATGGTTGATGTACACATTTCACTATGCTTCATAATGGGACTGTGTTATATCGACGGATCGAGACCCGATAAGGTTCCGCTAGAACACATTGGGGATTGAAGCCCTACAAAATAGTTTTAGATATAATGCATGGTGAAGAGTTTACAGTCCGAGAAGTTCGCCTTAATTGCTGTGGGGTTCATATGTCATGTCGTTGATTAGATTCATTTATATGTAACTATACCCACGATAATGGGAAAGTTTTCTTAATTCCCTACTAAAAAGCAATTATTGATATAGTACCATTATTAACAGAGATACCAATTGAAATTTGTTCTGTATTTCTGGTTATTTTTTTCAATACTGAACCGTTGTTACCAAACGAGAAGATAAATTATTTGTCAAACTCTCGATATATTGTATCTATTTACTTCCGTATTATATTTTCATTTGTTCTCTGACTGATACACTATGAGAATCATTCGCCTAGGCTCGCTATGGAGTATCATTATAAAACTCAGAGTTATCTTTTCTTCTGAAATTATAAGGTTTATGTATCTATATTTTAACTTAATTTTAAATGCCTATTATTAATTTCTTTGGATGATTTTGTCATATGATTACATAATTTGTTAGTAAATAAAAAGTCCTCTAGTATAATTTTGAACATTAAGAAAGTTTTTTATCATGTTATAATTTAGTTATTTGTTTTTCATCCTTACTTGCATTTAAATATGAGATACAAATAAACATTAATTTCTGTAAATATAAGTGATTTAATAGCTACTTACATATATTGTAATGGTCTTCCTAAACCTGACAAATCCAAGAAGTCTTCGGTTGCTAAATGCGCCTTAATTTAATTTTTGACTTTTATTTTTTTTAAATGTTACATGAGTGGCTCCATGCCAAAAACAGACATTTTAAGAAGTTAAGACAGGAATTTTTAAAAAGTTGAGAAAAAGCCAACTTTTGAAACATTGCTTCAATTTAAACTTATTCTAATGTTTTTTTTACCTTGAGCATTCTTCAATCAAATTATCAGAAACAGTTTAGGTTGAATCAATAAAACAAGAATTGGCCTTCTTGCCTCTCTAAAAATGACAGATGTTCGTATTTGATATGAAGCCACTCATATGTATACAAAGTTATCCAAAAAAATTGCAATAATGATTTCTTCTATTTTTGTTTAAAATTTCAAACATGATATGTGTTATTGTAAATGTTAGAATAAATTGAGTATATTTTTACTTAATTCGTACACAGATTGTCAGATATAACGATGACAGTCAGCAAATGTGATAACAGAAGATAAGATTATTAATATTTGATTTTTTTTCTTCATGTAACTATGACATTTAGGTCTTACTTGTAAAAATAATGCATGTTTAGATACTCATTTATTTTCTATACAATGAAATAAATTCACAGTCTGATTTATATATTGTGTTTTAAAATCTAAAATAGTGTCTTTAACTATCTAAAACTGAATATATTTTGATTAGTTACTTACTCAACATTCCTCATGCTTTAGTACAAGCGAAATTCTACAGATCATTTGTTAAATAACATCAACTTTTTTTTTTTTTTTATAGTTTAACGAACTTGCACACTTTACTTTCTATAATATTTAACATATAATACATATTTTAAAATAAGATCACATTTAATAATATTTACAAACTTAATCTAGTTGGTGCAGATTAAGGATATTAAATAAAGTTTTTACATACATTAATTTTACATTTCGATACATAATGTTTATGTGGTCAACTATGTAAATAAACGAAGAATTTTTACACTTCTCCTTTCTACATATCATATTCACAAAGGATTGCATTATAATGCTATTTTCGTGTATACCTCTGATAATGAACATTTTATTTGGTATTTGATAAATTTTAATAAAGTTATTATTTTTTTAATATTTTTCTTTACTTCGTGTAGATAAGTGAACAATAAGAAAAATATGTTTATATTTTTAAAAATAAATATACGTAAATTAAATGCTTACTATTATACTAGGTATTATTATGTTTTTTGTTTATTTATCTTTATATTACATTTAGTGGTTGTTATTTGTATAGTAACTTTAATAATTATACATAACCTCGCAGATACATTCAATAAATACTCCATTCTTCTTGATTGTTCCTTACGCCTCAAGAACCTGGTACTCCTCAAAGACCATGTCGTTGCAGGGCCTCCTGTTGTGCTCCATCGCTCGTAGCTGCTTCCGGGACTCGATGAGCTCCCTCCAAGACGGCTTCTTGTCCTTATTAATTTCTCCCATTTCTATCTTCTGAACTTCCTTCTTTACTTCCTCATGCTTTCTTTCTTTGAATTCCTCGTATTTCAATGATTCCTCCTTCTTGTCTTCTTCAAGTGGTCCTAGGTTGCCTTTCATCTCGTCACAGAGATTCTTTCCCCCGTACATGTCCTCATAGAAGCGACTGTGACTTAGCTCATGGTACAGCTGTTGTTCATCCGTGCCAGCCAATTCCAGCCTACTGCCACAACTATTGCTCTTCACGAGCCGAAACTTGCCCCTGCCACCTTCTTTGCCTTGCCTTATCTCGTCCATGATGGTCATTGTCATTTGATTACCAGAACCATGACTGTGAGAAATCACACGTCCCCCATAATATGTGATGGTCGTTCCACATGCTCTAATCTTCTTCATAACTTCAGGGGAAACTGGATGCTGGTCTGCCTCCGGTGATTGAGTAATGTCTTCTTCATCACTAGTGTAACATTTGTCAGACATGTTGTCCAATTGACTCATATCTGAACTGACTCCTGATGACAGGCTTCCACTATCGGTCCACCCTTTCGAATTACGATCTCCCTGAACTACTCTCACTTCTGGTGTCGGTCTTGGTTCTTTTTTCGGATTATTCAATTTAGCTGCAATTGGAAGCATTATTCCTGTCTGTGTTCCATTCTTTGGCTTTTGGAACATCTGCCTTGTAGATCTTACCTTATCAGGATCGGGCAGCTCTTCATCTGGGAGTTTAGGCCGTGACTTGACCAACTTGTAAAAATAATGCCTCTGGACTGAAGGTTGGTGTACTTTATTCGCTCTTGGCAAAGTATTGGATTCTCGGGCTTCACTTTTTGTAGTTGTCCCAGTTATCCTGCATTCCCTCATATTTTTGTGATTATATTCCAACAAATCCTCTGTAGATTTCTTATCCCTGTATGTATCGATTATAACGACATTATTGTTAGTTAGCAGTTCTTTTAGACCTATGTTATTTTCTTTAAGATATTTCTTGAGATTGTATATAGCTTCTTCTTTTGTTGTACGGCATGCGCCTGTATTTATCTCCTCAGTGTATTTGTTCATGTTCTGTTCTGGAGTTGGTTTTGGTTTAAAAATCTCTTCTTTCCTTCTTCTCAATTCCTCTCCCGATATCAAACGCCTGTCTTTTATTGCAGGTTCATTATTGCTCTCGTCAGAAAGATTTAGTTCGGAAGATGCTTTCCTTCCATCAATTACGAAAGTTCCGTCGGGTCCTGTTGTAATTTTCATTCTCACCGCTGAAGGCCTAACGAAGTTTCTTTCAGTTCTATTTCTATCTTCTTCTAAATTCAGCAAACTTCTAGTTCGCAATACTAATTTTGAGGAAGCTCTTTTAAATTCTGGCTCATATGAATATTCTTCCTCCACGAAAGTTTGTTCGTCCGTATTTGCCAAAAGAACATTGCAGTTCCTTGGAGGTGGTGTAGGAGTTTTCGAGGCTACCCCTTCATCCTCAGCAACTTTTACTAATTTCTGCACTATTGAACCTTCTTCTTGGTTTTCTTCTAGTTTCGGTTGTTCCGGCTTCTTTGAGCCTTTTGAAGAAGCATCAATATTGCTGTATATTTCTTCTTTAACGTCTGTCTGATTGTTCTCTTTTTCCATTTGTTCATTGCCTATAGAATTTTGCTTCGAATTTATCTCTTGCCTGGACTTTTCGTCTTGTTTATACTTCTCTTTAGATCTCGAATATACCTCTTCCAATTTTGAGTAAAGTTCCTCTTTCGAGTAATGGTCTTCCGATTTGGCGTAAGTAGTTTCAGATTTGGATGAATCGTTTTCTGATTTTTCGTAACTCTCAGCACTATCAATTGAATCTTTATCCATTGCTGGTTCTGCCATATGTTGTTCGTGCATAGTTTCAATGACAGCGTGAATGGTCACCTTATTGCAGTCATAATCGGGAGTTTCTTCTTTTGGATCATATTCCGAATCATTACCATCGCAGAACTTATTCCCATTTGGTACCGTTTTTGTATCGTCGTATTTATTTTTCGGCCGACTTTTTTCACTATCCTCTGTTTTATTATTTTGAGCTTCTGTTGTTTCTTTTTCTTTTTTTCCATTCATTTTTTCGTAAATATGTTCTTTTTGAATTTCCGATTTTATGTTGATATTTTTGATGGATTCATAGTGTGGCTCATCAAGAATGTTCTCTTGGGAGCCTCCATCGTAGCCGCTCTCGGTGCTGTCATACATCCGATCCATCCTCTCCCTTCGTGGCTCCCTTCTCAGGGTACAAAATCGTTCTTTCTCCTTTTGTCGATCACCGTGCCTTTGTGCCGGCTGGAACATAAAAATAATAATTTAATATTTATTGTTATTATTAGCCAAGCTTTTGATTTATATACTAAACAAATTAAATGTTTTTATTAATAAAAAAAATATGATTAGCTTAATGAGCCTGATTATTTAACCATTTATTTGAAAAGACCTAGGATATTGTAACCTTCTGAATCAGAACCACTGGATCTGATCCAGTGAATTAAGCAAAGAGATAGCTTTCGTACGAACTTCTTGGAATTAAGTTGAAGCGAAATATTTCTCTCTCTCTCTCTCCCTCCCTCTCTCTCTCTCTCTCTCTCTCTCTCTCTCTCTCTATATATATATATATATATATATATATATATATATATATATATATATATATATTAAGCATAAGATTCTTTCATGAAACTAAATGCCAATTGGATTTTGAAATGAGAATGTGTTCTCATATTTATTTCAAACCATTCGTTTTTAGGTAATGTATCGTTTGTTGGTGTGAGCGTTGACATACTGAAGCTATTACTGAAGTCACGAACGGGTATTTTTCATGTTCGTGAACGTAATAAACCTATGATTTGGGCAATTACTCTGTGCGCCTGGCAGGAAGTAATCGCAGATTATTTTAAACAAATAATACTGTCAACTTTTATTGATAGTATGTTGAGTATTGATCGTTTGATGTTCCTGTTAATCGTTTGATGTTCTTGTTATTTGATGTTTGTTAATGTTCTTGAATTTCTAAAAGAGTACGTTTTTCGTTTCGATGCACCGATTGGTGTTATATGTGAAAACATAAAAAAAGATGGAATAAACCTTGTTTTTTTTTTTTAATGTAATAAGATATTCCTTGGTGGCCCGGATTATCAATTTTGTCTTTTACATATCTGAAATCTGTTGAAACAGTGGTCCATACAGGTCTTAAGTACTTAAGTTTAAGCGTTCAATTTCTGTCTATGTTTTAATTATGTTTTAAATTGGGTCTTGAATCATTATGTCGTGGAATGGGCGAATATGATCATCTTTATCTGTCTGAATAATTTGTACATTATTAATGTAAATAATTTAATTTTATTAAAAGTTACTTAATTGAATTTATGCAATAAAATGAGTATATAATCTTATTACTGGGTTAATGGGTGTATCTATATCTATCTCTCTTTCTCTGTTTACACTAACAGACACAGATATTATACATTGTTAAGTGACCAAACTGCAAAAATGTACTATGGACCTAAAAACAACAAAAAAATTTCCTCTAAAGGTATGTCCGCAAACGCTTTGTTTAGAAAATATTAATACCTAAAGATTTTCGTTGTTATGAATTATTTACGTTATATAAAATAAATAAAACCTTTTTATTTGTTTCAACTACTTTATTAATTAAATGTAAATATTAACATTCATGTTAAATGTTGTTCAAAATGATTTCCTTGAGCATTAGGACAGGCTCGGAATCTTTCTTCAACAGCAGCAATGCCAGAACGGCAAGAATCAGTTATACTTCTTTGTAAGAATTTAATGTCATAAAAAAACAAAAAAAAGAAACACGCAAATATCATATGGTACTGATTTTTTTTGTTTGGGGTGACATTACAAAAAAAAAACGTCTATGCAAGTCCGGTCAATGACCTAAATTCCTTTCGAAGAAGTATAATTAAATCTGAAACAATATCATTTGAACATCATTTAATATGAATGTTAATATTAGCATTTAATTAGTAAAGTAGTTAAAACAAATACATAGGTTTTATTTATTACATAAAACATAAATAATTTATAACAACGAAAATCTTTAGGTATAAATGAATATCTCGTAACAAATCGTTTGCGGACATACTTTCAGAGATTTTTTTTTTTTTTGTTTCGAGGTCCTTAGTTTATTTTTGCGGTTTGGCCACTTAACCCTGAAATACCCTATATATATACTCATACACATTTTATTTTGTGCTAAGAATAATTTTAATATCAAATATTTGTTTACCTGTTTCTGACACTGGTTTGATGACGACTGCGGTCCAATTTTGCCACAAAAACTAACTGTGTGTCTTACTGGCTTTCCTGAATCGCCCCACCTGTAAGAAAAGAATATATGTTATATGTATATATATTTTTGAAGTTAAAATTTCGTGGGTAATAAATGGGACTGGGCTGAATTATGTAACACTCATTAGGATAAAGTCGGCTGGAGTCGACTAATTTTTGAATTTAGATTAAAATATCTTAGAAACTAATAATCGGACCACCATACTATAAGTGAGGGAAATGTTCAGTAAATCATGCTCTTTGTAATGAGCTTTTATTCAAGATTTACTTTTGAATCAATGCTTATTTAAGTCCTCAATCCATTCCCTCACTACATGATCCCGACCCTCTGACCTATACATCCCTTCTCATAGATCTGCCTCATTCCAAAATTCCTTTATAGCCCGCTCTGTCTACTTTTGGAATACCCTCCCGATCAAAATTCGACATGCCCCTTCCCTAAACACATTCAAAAACCTCCTATTCCAATTCCTGTTCCAAAAACAGTCAGATACCAGCTAACTATTAATATTATATATATATATATATATTGTGTAGCAATCATATAATCATAATACTTGATACTAGAGATAGTACATGCATTTCCTACTATCAACGTAGGAATTTCAATACATACATTATTTTTTTTATTCAATTGTAATGAACTGTTTATTTATATATATATATATATATATATATATATATATATATATATAATATATATATATATATATATATATATATATATATATATATATATATATATACATATATATATATATATATATATATATATATATATATATATATATATATATATATATATATATATATATTGTGTAGCAATCATATAATCATAATACTTGATACTAGAGATAGTACATGCATTTCCTACTATCAACGTAGGAATTTCAATACATACATTATTTTTTTTATTCAATTATAATTAACTGTTTATTTATTTATATATATATATATATCTATATATATATATATATATATATATATATATATATATATATATATATATATATATATATATATATATATATATATATATATATTCAAGTAAAGTTTTTTTTAAATTTTATTTTATGAAATGAACTCACTGTATCTCTTTTTCGTTCTTCATTTCTCATAGTGTATGTTTATGTTGTTCAACCCTTATATATAATTTTGTTCATAGTTCAAGTGATTCGTTCATAGTTTTAATTGTTTTGTTCATAATTTTATATGCTCTGTACATAGTTTTATCTGTATTGTATATAGCTTGTGCACCTAAGGTTTTCTTTTATTTTATCAATTTTATTTATTGTTTCAAACGTGTAGGCCAGTAATATTCTATTATTTTGTACATTATTGTTATTCTGAAGGGACTTAGTCCCAAAATAAAGTTTTTTTTTTCTATCTATCTATCTGTTCAAAATTTAAATTTAGCTATTATCTTGACCTGGCGCCGTGTAAAAGACGCAAAAAGTGTGAAAAATAATAAAAATATAAACTATGAGATTATACTATCATCGCATATTTTAGTTATCACAAATCTATTGTTTTATTTGTAAAGTATAATACAAATGTCAATCAGTCAGAGCAAAGTTTACCAGATTAATTTAAACACAATTATAATTGTATATATTGTAAATGTTATTGATTTGTTAATATAGAACAAAAAATATATATATATTTCATATTATTAATTCCAACTTATTTAAATTCGTATATCTATATTCATAATGGATTATTAAATCTATATCATGACATGAAGAAAAGCCATTATCCTTTATTATATATCTGATGGTGGCATATTAATATTTTGGGGGCTATTAACTTTAATGGCCAAGATTCGTTCTAGGAAACCCCTGGCTGTAATATTTAACCACTAAGCCCGCACGACTGTACTGTAATAACGGCATTGCCGCGTCCGGCTCTAAGGTAATATATCATTGCTCTGGGAAACAGTCAATTACTAAATTCGTTCCTTAATGTTTTGATAAAAATAACTTCTAGGTCGTAAACAAATAAGTGTGTACTGGGTATAGTATTTTCTATTAAATTAATTTTTTCAATCTTTATTTTAGCGTACTTATAAATATCGTATTATGTAACTTAATCATTGGCATACATTCTTTCTAAATCATGAATAGTCATCAATTGATGACATGTAATAACCATTCAAAATAAGATTGCAACTACAAACCTTTCAGTCAAAAACGTTTAGGATTATAACTAAAGCTCCATGGTACATGAAACATTACTTTACATAAGACCTAAACATGCCAATAATTAACGACAACACACGGACAAACTACAAAATAATTCACAATAACTTTCATGGACATACTAACTCACTGATACAAGACATGGCCTCGATTAACATGCCCGAAAACACGATTCGGAGGCTCAAAAGAACCTCGATAAGGGATTTCCTCACCTAAAAATATACTGGATCGTAATTTTTTTTTTTATTTATTCATGATATTTACAACTGTATTAAAAATTAAATACATTAAGTAAATTTGATAACAGAAAATAATAACATGAAATGACTTGTTGAGAAACTACCCACTGGTAGCACTCTAAAAACAAAATGTATTTACAATAAGAGATCTCGAGGCCATCTTCTTTTCAGACGCCTCGGAGGGTTATCAGGAATAGAAGAGGAAGCAAGATTAGAGACGAGAGGATTCGGATGGTTCTGAAGTTTATTATGGAAGGATTGGGCCAAATCGGAAACATAAGGAATATTAAGGTCATTATGGATTATTTTATTGGTGACAAAGTAAGGAGCATTGAGGATTTTCCGAAGGATTTTGGATTGTAAGGATTGGATACGAGAGGAATTCGATGGCTTAGTGGAGCCCCAAAGCTCAACTCCGTAAGTCCAAATAGCTCTTATTGTAGTCATGTATATAAGTCTTTTGTAATTAACTGGAAGCTTAGAGCGTTTGTCTAGTAAGTGTTGGAGTAGTCGGAAACGTCGAGCGGTTTCTTGTCGTTTCAGTCTGGTATGAGGATTCCAAGTTAGACGTTTGTCCAAGTGAAGTCCAAGGTATCGGATTTGTTCAACAGGGATAAGTGGGATCTTAAAATTAAAAAAAAAAATCATAGGAACTATTGATAGTCTTAAGAACTTAATTAATGATCTTAATTGATATACAACAAAAATAAGTCTTATTTTTTTTTCAAAGTCCTTGATTTCTTTTTCTTACGAATTTTCAGTTTTATTGAATTTTTCCTTATTTTGAATATTTGTGTTTTATGGAGATCTATATCGTCATTATTGTTTCTGTTAATGTTCATAATTTCTATACGTAATGATTAATTGATGGGACCTGGTTTTTATATTGAACTTAAAAGATAAAATTGTTCTTGTATTTTTGGGTTATAATATTTTATTTGCGCCTGTCAGATTCTTGTTTTCAAGCAGCAAATGTGCTGAAAATACAAGCTAAAATGACATGCATGGGAGGATAGTACACATCAGCACCCCTTCCTTGACTTGTTTCAATTACTTAGATTGTTTAAGGAAGGATATCTTTCATCGAACACCTAAAATTTGATTCTCAAAGAACTTTTCCATTATTTGAGTGGTCTAAAATGTTTGAGTTGATTAAATAAGAGATTTCCTGTCCTTGGTACTGATAAATTCCTTTCCTTTACGAATTTCATTACTTTTGGCTTTTTCGATTCCTCGTTCGGTCTTAGCTTTAGCTCTTTGCGTAGACGTTCTCTATTTTTAACACTTTATACTGCTATATCACACCTGATTCAAAAAGCCATCAAATATAATACACACTTACTGTTAATAATAATGGGGAATTTAATGAATAAATTAGTAATGAAATATTTGAATTTTGAATCGTTAAATATTAAAATTTTCTCATGGCATCACTTTTTACATATTTCAGACATTAAAAAATTTCTAGCGAATAAAAACTAAGGGAATGAAGATATAACTATTTTTTAATTATTCCACAAAGTGATGAAAGTTGCTTAAAAATTTTTGTTATTAAAAACTTATTTTATAATGTTATGCTTTATTTTAGAAACAGATTTCAACATTATAAATAAATCTAGCGGCGATTATCCTATTTTCTAGGGAGAGTGAAATTTTCAATAATTATACCTTGAGACTGCTTAAAAATGAAGTCATCCGTCCGTCCGATATTAGCTTTTAAAAACAATGTTGGAAATAAATGTAAGTCGGCTATGAGTGAATGGAGACCACACAACCGGAGAGCGAGTACATTGTGAATGGTGCTACAATAGGGTGGACCCTGCCCTACAATAGCCTATTGTAGATGGCAAAGCAATCCACTACCCAGTGGATCACTAGCCAGTCTATCTCCACTCTTTTAAAATGCTTTCTGCTTATCTGATTTATGTTTGATCTTTTTCCTTTTTTTATTAATTGTTTTCCTTTTGGAAATGTCCCCAGAATTTTTTTTATTTTCAGTAATCTTACTGTTTGTAATTAGTGATTTGATAATATCGATATCGATAGGTAACGATATTTTTCATTCAATACCGTCAAATACCGTATGGAAACAAAGGATTTGATAGTATCGTAATATCAGAATTCGATATATATTTTTTCAAGTATATTACAAATAGAAATCAATTTATAAATTAAAAAAAAAAGAATGGCTGTATTTGCACGTACGAATATTTGTTTAACGTTTCAAATACAAAACCTTAAATATCACCACATATTAAAACAATTAATTACAATACTTTCAAAGAAAACAGCTCATATTGTCCGTTTATTGCAAAAGTCACATATTACATTTTTCGTGAAACTGAACGTTTAAGAATGTTTTTGTGAATTTTGGCGTTATTTATGGACGAAAACCACACAAATTCTTTTATATTTCAAATAAAGTTACATCAAGCACATGACTTTTTGATTTCACAAAAGGAAAATTCATCAAAATTCTTAGGGATTTAAAGTCACTTAATCAATGATTTAAAGTCACTTAATGATTCTTCTGGCGTGTTTTGGACTTTTTTTTTGTGGAGAGTGCATTAGATTGAGCCGTCAGATCTCCGATGTGTAACAATCGGGTAAAGTCGGCTGGCGTAGACTGATTGAAGTGTTTTTGCATATGGATTAAAATATTCCAAAAACTGAAAATTGGATCCTCATATTGTTAGAAGTGAAAATATTCATCATTTCATTCTCTTTGTAGTGAGCTATTATTCAAATTTGTATCTTAAGGCTACCACCTGTTATAGAGGTGAAAAGGGAAAAATAGTCTCGAAAACCAATTGATAACGGGTTTTATTGAAGATATGGATTAAAATATCTGAGAATCTAACAATCGGACTTGGCTAATGTAAGCGGGAAAATTGTTTAGCATTTTATCCTCTCTGTAATGGGGTATTATTAAAGCGAAAACGTGTTACAGAAGCAAAAAAGGAAAAAAAAATATTCAAAAACTAAATGAGAACTAGTTTTATAAAAAATATGGTTATAATTTATATTTCATATTATTAATCTCGCCTTGCTGATGTTTTTACTTCTATCGTTTGGTCTAAAGCACATACCTAAGATATTTTATGGGATGTGGCAATTTCATTATCAATTTTAAACATTTTTACGCTTGTTTCGAAAACCGCTCGAACTAACTTTATTAAACTAATTGCATCGATGAACAGGTAAATGTTTTTATTTTCATTTCAAATATCTTATAGGTTTTTTTTTTGTCTTCTATCTCCATACCTTCATCGGTACCTGTCGTGAGGGTGACAATCAGCAAATTTGATGAGATTGTAGATGATATTAGCATTACAGGTACGAAGGATACCCAGTGGCACCTCTTTTTGGTCTTTGCTTCCTTCAAACAGGGAAGGATATATCTCATCCAGCCCCTCTTCAGTCTCCTAATGTTCATGTAAACCGTGATCTTGTGGGTAATAAGTCTGTTGTTGTGCCCTGTAGTTTAAAATAAAATCGTGAGTAATGAGTACGTATGTGTTGGTCAATAGTTGGTTATTGTAAATTGTTATGTATTTTTTTTTTGTTTAACTGATAGGAAGCTGCTGTTATTAGTCGTATAAGTGGGGACTGAAAACATTGTTGTTTTTCGAAGTGAGTCTTTTTTTACTTAATCATATTAATGTTAGACATATGTCCAAATGAGTAAGTTTGTTTATGTATTCAGTTTTTGTCTGATTTGCAATTTAGATTTTAAAATAGAGCTTTAATCTCGAATTTTGTAATTAGCTCCCGCTAATGTACTTATAATATGGTTTATTTGAAATAATAACAGTCCATCATCATTAATACTAATATTCAAATAGATATTAATCTCGTGAAAGGATTTGATAATTAACATAAATGAAAATATTTTCCCTGGATAAAATTAAATTCCCGGAATTGAAAGAGTTAACTGATATGTATAACATATCGTTGGGAAGCTGAAAATTTGAAAAAAAAAATAATATCCTATTATAGTAATAGCATATTAATTCCTTAAAGGTAATGGATTATGACGAAAACCTTATGACTTATGATCTATAAATATTTATGGTAGCGGGGTGGCAGTAACTTGATTAACTGAAGTTAATGTGATCAATAATTACGAATTCCCCTCCCAGAGCTGAGGACTTTTAACTCTGTCGTTAATCCCCTGCCTTCTAGTTTGGCCCGAGAAAAACTCGTATAGCCTAAAAAGCCTTCTTCACTTTTTAAAATGAAATATAACATTATTTAACTGAAACTACAATAAGTGTTTCTTCTTTCGAAGTGAAATGAAATTTCAAAATCATATTGAAACTTTTACAATTATTTTTGAGCTTGGCATTTAAAAATGTACAATTCATCGAATTTTCGTTCTAGATTTTTTTTATCAAATATCAACTTTAATAACTTAAATTTAATAAGTTTAGCCCTGATAATAGATTTATATAATTAAATATTGAGCAGAAATTTATTTATTTTAGTAATGTTGTAAGTTAAAGTTTTGCAAGGTGTTATTAAATGACATGGTTTTATTAAAACTATTAAATCATTTGCTGTAAACCACAGTTGATTTAAACGCTATTCTATTTAGTAATTGGCTGATAGTGAGACCTTGAGAACTTTGACATTAGCTTGCGTTTGAAAACTATTTTAATTTTTTATTTAACCTTGGCATTAAAATTTATGTAGATTTTTTTTTCTTTTATGCAAATATACCGTGACTGACCCGATGATGAAACCGCTAATTTATATTTAATGTCTGTTGGCTGGCTATCAGATATTCTGGGCGACACAAACGCGTTTGGGTTTCTGTCACCCTTCTCAGTGTCTAAAATATTGGCAACGTTTCTTGATGTATTCAATTTTTAAAAGGAACGGGGCTTTGCAAAAATAAAATATGTCAGACCTTATTATAATGTAGTATAATACAAATTGTAGCAAAATGAAACAGAAGAAAATAATATATTTTGGTCATTGATGAATTTTATGTAACATTCTGTACAGTGCAGGTAGAAAATGTCTAATCAACCGAATCCCCCAGAAATTCATCAATGAGTCACGTTATCATCGCAACATCGAAACCTGAAATCAGGTTTCCTATATAATGAATGTTGAAGTGAGCTAGAGTATGAGAAGGTTGCCAAATTAACTTCCTTAAACATATGGTGTTAATTATGCAGTAGATTTTCAAGTGACTTCGTTTTTTTTCGATTAGCAGAAGACGTAAAAATACAATATGTTGTAATAATAATAAATACAATTTAAAACTAATATTAATGCGAGGTATGCATGTGGAGGAAGATTAATAAAAAAAATAATCGGGCTGTATTAAAACTAAACGAGCTATGAATAGTGTTACCCAAATGCGAGACCGAGGCGAGTTTTAGTATTGCGAACTCTGTCTTGGCCATGGTCTTGGTCTTGCGCAAGAATCTCGCAACAGTCTTGCAGTTACTTATTAGCTTATTATTATCGAGATATTACTGTATTTTTTTGGATAGAAGAAAGCTAACTAAGCCCGAATGAAAAATCAGAGGAGGTAAATGTAAAAGTATACTGGTTATACCAACTATTAACATGTAGTAACTAAAATTGTCGAATATTAATAACTATTTTGCCTTAATTTTTATTTTAAAAATCGATTTTTTTTTACCATTCCTGGTCTTGGTATTGCAACAGTTAGGCAGCCTTAGTCTTGGTATGCAAAGTGCAAGACCAAGAACGATTTTGGTCTAACACTATCTATGAACTATTTTATTTATATCGTTATTTTCTCTGTACCACGACTTGGTACAGAATACGAATTTTATTTTCTCTCATTTAAAAATAACTCTATAGTTATTTTTTAGTTATTGTAAGGAAAAATAATTAATTCGTTCTTAATGCTTTTTTGCTCTTAACATGAATGTTGAAATAAATCGACAAATAGTTAAATAGCTATTTATATAGAAAGATTGTGAGAATCATCCTTATAGAATGATACCATATAGAATGATACCATCTGCCATCCATAACATATTAAATACGATGGAGTAACTTTGGGACACTTTTTTAAGTTTTAAGCTGCTTCTATCTTTATTTTAAAATTAAAATGCCGAAAAAAATATGAATATGTAAGGTCAGTCTTCCTCTCACAAAATATGGTAGAACAATAACTCTAGAAACAATGTTATTAAACAAAATTTAAATTTGTACTAATTTTACTGTTTTGACTGGAGCAAATTATGGAGAGTGCATTATCGCTATTAGAAACACCAGGAAACTTGATTTTGTACTTATGTTACCCCACAATATTGTATACGCTCATTATTTAAATAATAAACAACAAGGAAAATGAGTTTTACCAGTTTAAACCATTTAAATGAGTTAAACCAATTTTATTCAATAATACTATATTTAAGAACGCGTGATAACAATATATTCCTAATCATAGTACAAAAAAATTTCAAATAATAATTTTTTAAACAATTAGGCATTGAAAATTTACTGACAAAAAAAATGGAAAATGTAACATTATTTAAAAACTTCATAAAATTTAGTTTTTGTTAACTGAAGACTAAAGATCGCTGTAAACTGGCAGCTCTATGACTTTTAAAATTTCTCGCCGACCAATTTGTCATTTCAGTAGCCAATTTCATCATCATCATCGTTGATGCCCATTTCCAATTAGAAGCCGATTTATTCATGACCGATATTAATACTTCGATAATGTAATGTTCCCAGTTCTTGAGGCACAAGCGAAAGTTTTATGAAAACGTGAATTTTGAAAAAAAAAACAATGGAAATAAATAAAAGCTAACTGCACAACGGATGTAGTGAACTAGGGTTCTCAAACTTCCGCAAGGTATTTAGGTTGCACACGCTGTATATGCCTACACAAAGCATGTTTTTGCAGACTAAACCAACATAGTGTATCCACCACAGAATCTAAATTTTACCCGCTGTTCCAAAATTACCCATCCAATCCTAAAGTTACCCCATCTTACGGAATTCAATATCTAAAATGCCGAAGAAATAGCTGCCAAATGAATCTATTAAGTTTTATACTAATTTTATCTACATTTTATACTTCTAATATAAATCTGTACATTTATTAAAACATTATCTATATCCTACTATATTTATATTATATTATTTTATATTATATATTATTATTATATTAAAGTATTATATATTTATAACTTTTTTATTTATTTTTTTCGTTCAAAAATAAACACACACCTGTCATATTAAGAATTGACGAGCAGCAAATTGCCTGAAAACACAGGTATGCTAGGCATGGGAAAGGCCTTTGAACTCTGATGTCATCATTACTAACCGTTTTCATTACAATGCTATGAATGTATTTGAATAAATGTATAAAAAGGATTGTATTAAGAGAAAAAGATGCAAAATAAAATATTCATATTTATTTTACAGCATGTAGACAAAGGAATTTATAGACCGCATATAGAAAATGGAAAAATCCGTCTGCCGAGATCCGTTCTTTTAATTAATTCTATGCTCCGGAGATTAAAGAATCATATCCTTTTGTTTTATTAAATAATTTAGTAACTATTAAACAAATTTAAATATCTTAAACAGTAAATATCTGCGATTCATGAAAAATTGGCTCCCCAGAACGAATAAAAAATGTGACTTTGTTTTCCTTTTTTTTTTTTTTTTTGGTCCTTCCCTTCCTCGTCGTTAAGGCTATACGGGATTTTCCCGGGTCAAAGGGTGTGAGCCGGGATTTAAAAGACTCCCCCGGCATCGGGACGCGAGAACTCATGACTATTTTTATATCTTTGATTCATAGATCTGGTTGCCTAGTAACGGCGGTGTAGTGCACACGCTTTAGCCCATTCGGCCCCTCCCCCCTACATTTGTTTTCTTTACCTGAGGGATACACAATTAAAATATGTATTTTATTTTTAAATAAAGTTCAGGATGAATGGTATTTTGCATTAAAAAACATATTTTAAATTCCTTACTTAGAGTGCTACCAATGGGTAGTTTCTCTACAAGCGTTTTTATGTGATTGTATTATTACCTTGTGCACATTTACTGGATGTATTTTTAATTTATACAGTTGTAAATCTCATGAATAAATAAAAATAAAAAATTCTTACCAAGCCAGTTCAACTAACTGCATATTCGGCAACCCCCTTTTAAATAAACACTCCTGAGACTACATTAAAATAAAACTAAATAAGAATGTAAATACGTTAAATATTTTAGCAAATAAAATATTGCATTATTGGTTACTTGTAAAATAGGGCGAATTTATTAACAAAAAATTAATAAATTCTCAATGAATGACCAACGAACAGAAATAGACCAGCGTATAAGTGGCACAAAGAGAGCTTTCTTCTCCCTCTCAAAGGTATTGAAATCCCGAAAAATCTGCAAAATGTGCAACACTAAAGAAAAGAAAACGCTTCATCATATATTATTTAAATGCAGAATTTATAGTAGTTTAAGGCTAAGAATATACCAGGGTATCGAAAATCTTGATGGGATAGAAATATTTAAGCCAAGCAATGCAGATGATATGAGAAAATTATATTTTTTTATCTCAGTTATATCAAATTATAGAGAATCGGTGGGGTAATCTTGAATATTGTCCTCCGCATATTATAGCAAAAATTTCATATTGCCCATTTCCATGTAATCTGGCCGGGTATTTTTCTTGTTTTTGTTCTCTTAAGTAAAGGAGTAATCTTTTAATTTAATTTTAAAAAATATTTTAACATTAATATTTTTAAAAAATATGTATTTATTGTTCTGTGTGTATTTATTTATGTATATTGTTGACAATTTTAGATTTTATATTAATTTGACAATTGAAACTATTTAAACTGCCTGACCTTTATCGAATATTATTTTAAATTTATCTTTAAGTGTGTTGTAATGTAATGTAATGTCTGTTATGTAGTATAAAAAGAAATTTGTATTTCCGTAAGGATAATAATGTTTGTTATTTTGTAATAGACTCCATTTTTATAGGGAGGGTTCTTCCCTCAAAACAAAACATAATATTATTTTATGAGTATCTCCGAGACCATTATTTACCGGGAAAGCTGAAAAACGCACATAGAAACGTTAGTATATATATTTATATTTAAGCATAACCATTTTATTGGGAATAAGGTATCTTATTAATTATTTAATAAAATACTAATAATATATATATATATATATATATATATATATATATATATATATATATATATTTGAAGCCCTATTGAAATATAATTATTTGTTTAGGCGTCTACATAATAATTCGTGAACTGATTAATTGAGCTTTTAGCAATGCGATCACTTAATGCATAATTATTTACGCTTTTCTACCCGTTATTTTAATAAAATAAGTAAGTCTATTGAATAATAGATTTTCCTATTAGTATGTTTTTGCCTTGTTTCGCTTCGAAAGTATTTATCATTATTCATTGAACTCAATGCTTGTTTACTTTCTTCATTTTTTTTTCTAAAGCTTTATTAGCATTTTCATCAAGGTCGATTTAATTATCATGAAGTAGCACCGTTATTATAAAGAGTCCATAGGAATTCGAAGGCTCCGCTGCATTCCTTATCGACACAAAGTTTTTATCTGACATCGCTTATCTCACGAGTTATATATTTGAAATGGTTTATCGAATAAAAGGTTTATAGCTTTAGCTATTATATTAATTGTATTATAGAAGCTGTGATAGGTAAAGGCGATGCAATTTTGGAATGTTCAATTTCTAAGTATGTGTTCTGCCAGAAGAGGTTTATTTCTTAGAGGTCTCACCGACCAAGCACTTTCTTTCTAGATACATCCAACTGAAAGATTATAAGATACCCTGTCTTCAGCGGAATAAGTCGTAGCAGTAAATCAATTCCATCGTGGTTTATCAAATTATATAGGCTTTAGTTATAAAAACATTGCTTTTGACAAGCCTGTTTTTTTTTTTTCATTCTCTTCAATTATTTTCACTTTTATAACAGTCTAAGATTAAAAAGTACTCCCATTGATGAGTAAATCATCTGGATTTATGTTATTGTTTATCTCATTTGACTCCTCTATTACATTCCGAAATTGCATACGAGTTTGAAGGTGTGGTAATCCTTAGAAAATTATACGATCTTTTTGTGCTAAAGATAGTAATATATAGTATATATACCGTCATGTTTTTTTGTTGATGTTTTTTAGTGTTTTTTTATGAATTGACTTGATACAATGGCGAACCGGACCCCCCTTTATCTGGTTATGTATTTACTACTTATCATTATTGCTTATTGGTAAAGTTATGCTAACTTTTAATATTTATAAATATAAAAAAAAAAAACTTTTTATTTTGAAGGTTGCTGAACCGAAAAACAATTTTAAAATGTTATTAATAATAATGTAAAAATACTATTGCTCATTAATTTGTAGGATATAAAA